GTGGGCAGGGCACCCCCTCGCCGTCTGGGTGGCTTGCAGGCTGGGCGGCTGCCAGCCGGGCCAGGCACTCTAAGCAGAAGACATGGGTGCAGGAGAGTTCCTTGGGTGTCTTGAAGATGTTGTCATAGCCTGAGAAGCAGATGGAGCACTCCAATGGAGAGGCCACCTTCTCTGAGCCAGGGGTGCCAGGGGACCTGGGGCTTCCAGCTGAATGGGGTGACCTGGGGTTGCCGACTGAAACAGGGGACCTGGGGCTGCTGACCGAGCCGGGGGACCTGGGGCTGCTAGGCGAGTAGGGTGACGTAGGCACTGTGGCTGTTGAGCTGTTCCGGTCGGGGGGTGGCACAGCTGTGTGCCATACCTGCTGGCCTGATGACATGGCTCTGAGCTGCGGACAAATAGATGTCTGTAAGTGATAGCAGTATGCCACTTCCTTGTGAAGCCAGCCTCTCTCCTATCTTCTTTTGCCTAGCATCAGCCCCAAAGATCCCAGAGAAGCATACTGTCCATCCATGGGCACCTCCAGAGATTCCCACTGGAGGTCTTTCTGCCCAAGTTGTAACCCTGCCTCCCCACCCTCAACATGTGGCTGAGCCACATGAGCATCCTTCGGTGCCTCAGGCCTGGAGGGCCCAGAGGGGCTCCAGAAATGGAGGCAGTATACGCGGGATTGTCACACCGACCACTCATTGGAGGCCTCCTGCAGGCCTTGCTCAACTGGCCGTGCTGCTGACCAGAGATAATGGTGATGATGATAACAGCCCACATAGCTAACATTTATGTGCAGGCTCTGCAGGGCTGCCCTGATGTCGTGGGATGCTCACAACAGCCACAGTGGAGAAGAGGCACCTTGGAGGCTGGAGTGACTCAGCCAGAGTCACCTGCCCAGAGGCCAGTAAGACCTGTGCCCTTATGAGGGTGTAACTCAAGGGTGGGCCTGTGGCTCTGGGTCAGGTGAAAGGTTGGATATGGTTCCCAATGTGGGCACCTGGTTTGACTGGTGCGTGCCTGATTTGTGGGAGGTGTGTGAGGGTGTGGCGTGGGATTTGGGGCCCAGGCTGAGTCCAGCAGGCTGTGGGAAGATGAGATGCCTGAGCAGGAGCAGTGGCCAGTGGTCCAAGGAAAGTTCTGCCCCCAGCTGCAGCCTAGAACTGTAGGGCCAACTTGTCTGGCTGGTGATGAAGGCCCGATGCTGATGGCCCGGAAATGTGCCTGAGCCCAGGGCCAGGGGAGTGGGATGCAGAAGAGCCTCAGTCATCATCTCCAGGCTGGCTCACCACACTGGAATGTCAGGGTGTCATACAGAGGCCCATCAAAGAGGATGCCCATCCAGGGATCTTCCTCACTGGCCCACCCACACTTCCGTAACAGAGAACTCAGGAGACCCTGCTCTGTCTCCCAGGCGCAATTTGGGTTGGTGTCCCTGCTGTCCAGCTCTGTCCCCCACCCCCTCTCTTGGGTCCAGGTCTCCACCCTAGAGAGCCCTAGGTCCATCTGGCCCTGACGACTGGCTACAGGGATCTTGTCTGGAGGAAGGTAGGTAAGGGGCTCACCTGTCTTTCATCTTCACAGTGAGTCTCCAAGGCCCTGGCCATATGAGCCCATGGAGCCCAGGAGGCCACTCCAGAAGTGACCCCTTTGCGTTACCTAGCCCAACCCTGACTAACTGGCCAGTCCGAGGCAGGCTGGCTGGAACCACTCAGGTGTAGCTGCATCATCATACAATGTCATGAGCCACGGCAAAATCACCATGATGTCATGAGCGCCCCAGGCACACAGTAGGTGATGTCATGACAACCTGGGAAAGCAGTATCCTCCCCTGGCCTGCGTACCCCACAGAACCTGTTCCTTGACACCAGGGAGGTGCCCACCTGAGCCTACCCAGGTGGATGAGCATGGGCTGAGTTGGCCTTACCTGGCGGCCGGGAATCAGCAGGTCCTGGGCATGACCGTCTTCACCATCCACGGTGAGGCTCCCAGGCTCTGGGTTCCCCTGCTCTGGCAGTTATCTGTTCCCTCTCCTCTGGCCCAGCTGGCCTATGCTCCACCTGGCAGGTGTCCCTCCACGGGCTGGCGGCCAGCAACTGTCCTGGTAGCACTGGTCTGGCAGGCACACCCTCCGCGTTGTCTCAGGCAGGCGACGTGCTGGGATGTGTGTAATCTTCCAATCGCAGAGCTCACTGTCGAAGCGCATGAGTTCTTGGGGTGTGCGCTACTAAGCAGGTATATTTATACCCTCCAGGTCATGCTGGCTGGGGGTGTGGCCTGGGGCCTCAGGGATTGGTTGGCTTCTTGTCCTCTCCCTGGCGGACCAGGCAACTATAGGGCAGGGAGTCAGTGGTGAGGGTCAGAGCTAGAGTTAGACTGGGGTCAGGGCAGGCCTCCACAGCCTGGGCAGGCCTGGGTTAGGGGTGGGTGCTTGGACAAAGCTCCTTTCCTCTTGTGGAGCAGCCCCTCCAGAGGCAGACCTGCCCACTCTGTTCCCTGTTGGCACCTGAGATCCTAGGTGGACCTACCACTGAACCCCCACATCCACACTCAGAATCAGTCGAGCTGTCACCCCCTCACCCATCATCCTGTGCTAATGCTCTCCCCAGAAACCTCCTGCCCCTTCCCTGCCCACAGCCATCTGCCTGCGCAATGCATGTGTTCTCATGAATGCCCTCATGTTCACTTGCCCACACATGTGCCCAGTGTTCACACATATACATACATGCCGCATCCACACCACACACAGGGCCCTCCTCCCCCGAGTTCACACACACGCACATGCCCCCCAGTATTCACATGCACAGCTCTCCCAAATTTGCCTCTGCTGCCTCAATACCCCTCCCCCAGCCTACCCTACAGTCTTTGGGACTGGGAAGGGAACTCCCAGATCTGGAGTCCAGGAAGTGGTCAGTGGTGGGCAAGATCAGGAGTGAGCACCAGAAAGGGACCCAGGTTGGCCCTAAGGGCCTTTTTTTTTTTTTGAGAGGTTTTTGCTATAGGGCATGTGTGCTTACCAGAGAGACAGAAAGCAAGAAATCATCCCCCCAGGGGGGATGACCACACCGCAATCCCTTCTCCTCCATTCTCCTCTCAGGATCTTAGCACACGCGCACACGTGCCTGGCATGAGCTTAAGGCACCAGGTCTGGGACTTGAACCGTGGTCGCCTCTATGGGAGTCCAGCAACATAAACATTACGCCAACTACTGGTCCTGGCCCTAAGGGCTTTTAGTAAGTATCCACCAGAGCCCTCCCTAATACACCATGGAGCCTGGCCCCTTGAGTCTGAGGAAGTCCCCACCCTGCTGGGGGAGCTGGAAAGCTTGGGGGGGGGAGAATGAAGCTGCTTTGGCCAGTGAGCGTGGGGTCCTAGGAGACTGAAGGGCTGGTCTGTGCAAAGGCCAGAGCAAGCAGGACTGGGATAGAGAGTGGGCTGCACTGGGTGGCCTGGGTCTGGGGACATACTGTCTGTCCCCCAGAGGCCCAAGGTATAGGCCAAGATGTCCCTGCTGGCTTCCTGGTCTGGCCTACGGCTCTTTCCACTTGGTTTAGCCACCACAGGTTCCCCTCCCTGAGGCTTCTCTGCCTTTCACCCAGCCTCAGTGGACCTCAGTTCCTGGGTGAGTCTGACTTTGGGGGTCATGCACCCCCACTGCTTGGTGTGAGACCAGGACCTGAGATGGAAGCCCACACAGGAGCCTGGTGTAGGGGATGTTGCACTTGGAGAGACTAGGAGTTGGGGGCCCATCATGTGTGGCCCACAAGACACTTTGGTGGTGACTGGCATCCCAGAAGCCCCCGCCCCAAATTGCCCTGATGTCTCCAAGGCCAAGACTCATGTCAGGGAGTTGGGAAGTGAAGCCCAAACTGAGGGACGAACCTGGACTCAAGAAGGGCTGGGTTTCCCCTGCCTCTACTATGAGGCGGGAGGAGTCTCAGTGGGAGGTCCAAGAGTAGGATGGGGGCCTGAGGGGAGTTGGGAGCCTTGATGGGGGACCTCAGAGATGGGGAGAGGAACCCAGGAAGGAGGTTGAAAACCTCTGAGTATGAGGACCTCAGAGGGGGTTGTGGGCCTCCGTGGGGGTAGCCAGGAATAGGGGGGATAGGGGAGCTAACATGTGGGGGCAGCCAGGAATGGGGAGGGGATAGGGGAGCTAACATGTGGTTAAAGGGAATACAGAACAGAGGCTCCTGTTCCCATGAGAGGATCGTGACTCGGGGTCACATGCACCTCTAGGAAGTACCCTGGGTCCCCGCTGCTCTGAGAACATCCTTTCAGAGCTCCTGGGAATATCCAAGCTCTGAGGTCACTCCACATTCTCAGTGGACAGTCAGTGCCTGGAGGCAAAGGTGACAGGAAGACTTGGGGAATGTGTGGTCCCGGGTGTGGCCAGGCCTCACTCACAGGAGTGAGCCAGAGCCGCACCTTCTCCTGCCTGGACCTCAGAGGGAGCTGCCCCACGCAGAGCTGGGATCTGGGAGACTCAGAACTAGTCATGAAGGGACTTGGCTGGCTGTGTCCAGGGCTGTGCCCTCCATCCTGGCCAACAGGCAAGTGACAGGAGTGGCCAAGTGAGTGTGTAGGCACATGTAGAGCATGCTAACATGGCTGCGTGTACAAGCACATATGGACATGCCTGAGAGGCACATGGCTGCTAACATGTGCATATCAGCTGTACCTTATGTCTTGTCACCCTGGATCTCCACAGCCCTGAAAGTCCCTGGACAAGGCCCTTGTCCCTTGGAGGAGGTGGCATAGACACAGAAGCTGTCCTAGGCCAAATGAACAGAGTATGGCTTCTCAGGACCCTAGCCAGATCCCACCACAGGCCCTCGGGACAGAATAGTCTCGAGTTCCTGATGTTGCCGAGCTGGAGGGATTTAGTGTGGCCTGGATTGGACGGCAGGCATGCGGCCCTCCAGGGATAGACCTCAGGCCTATCCCTCTCCCTGTCTACCTAGGGCTGGGTGGTTCTCCACCCCCGCCAGCTGCTGACACCTGAGGCCTATCTGCATATCTACACCCAACTCTGTTGGCCCCGGGGTTGTTATTCTTTCCCATGGGCCCAGGTATGTGGAGGGCAGGCCAGGCAGAAGGTGGGGGAGGCAGGAGCTGGGCTGGAACAGCTAGGTTCTAGGGCAGGGGTGCACACTTGGGTCTCACCTTCACTCCAACTTTTGGGGTCAGTCCTGGACCTAGCCTCCCAACAGGCTTGGCATCCAGCTTTGGGCAAGAGGCCTGGGCAGTGAAGTCCCACTGACTAAGCCACCAGTGCCTTTCCCATGCCCAGCAGACAGTGATGCTCGCAAGGCCCAAGTGGCGGCCCTACTCAGAACTCACTGCCCACGCTTACAGGCAATGTGCTGGCTCCTCCGGAGGGCAGTGCTACCTCTGGCTGACTCCTGTCCTCTGTCAGCTCTGGGCACTTCTCCCGCTACCTGGGAGTAAAAACCACCACGGAAGCGGAAGCGAGCCAGTGAGGAGGCTGCCTGAGGGGCGGGACCAGGTGGATAAGCCCAGCCTTCCGTGCACCCAGACTGTGGCCACTGCAGAGCATTGACCACTCTTCCCCAAGCCTTTGGGCTGTGTTGGATGCCGACACCTGGTTGCCCCCACTTCTACCTGGGCCTCCCTCCTCATGCAAAGGAGACCAAGGAGACCTGCAGTGCCCACAGGGGCCCAAGCCCAGGCTGGGCCGTCCCCATTCCTGAAGTAGAAAAGCTCATGTCAACTCTCTGCAGATGAAGAGGCCCTGGGGAGAGGGGTGGGGGACCAGCAGCCTCATTTGGGGGCTGAGCTGGCCATTCACTCTCCTTAGCACCTGAATTCCTCCCCAGAGGCCTGGTAGCCTTGCTGTTCCCCCCACCCCCCCAGTGGTGCCTCCTCTGGCTGCCACCAGTGTCTCTTTCCCACTTCCCACCATAAATCATACTGGGCACCCCTGAACCCTCATTGGCCATGAGGAAGTCACTGAGTCAACCTGACCAGAGCATCCTGCCTTGTCACAGTCACGGGCCCAAGGATGGTCACAGACCCACTGAATCCCATGGGGACCTGGCAGCTCTGTGTCCCCAGGCAGCTCATACTGCCCTTCCCACTTGTCTTGAGAGCAGGGTCTTTGGTCCCCTCACTTGACCTGCCGGGCTGTGAGGACGATGCTCTTCACAGGAGCCAGGTATGGAAGCTCTAGCCCCTGCCATGGCAAGAGCCTCATGACTCAACCCTTCTGGCGCCCAGGCCAAGGCTGAGCAGCTCCCCAGATGCTGATCTTGAGATGGGCATCCCTGGGCAACAGGTGTCTAAGGTTATGACTTCCACCCCAAGACTTTGTCATTTTACAGAAAAGCCCCCAAAGAGGCACACATACTCTTTCCTATCTAAGGTCCTAATGGGGAGGTCAGGGCCATGAAGCTGACCTGCTTCTACGAGGCAGCCTGGGGCAAGTCCCCTCCCCAAGGGATAATGTCCCCAGGCAAGGTGAGGCTGTACCTGGCAATGGGCCCTTGGTAGAAGATTGGAGGTCTATGCTCCTAGCTTTCAGGTCCCCAGGCCAAGCAATAGGTAGAGGGTCCTGGACCTTGCCAAAGGGCTCTCTCTGTCCCCTCCTCATCTCCCTGTCCCCATCAAAGGCCCTAGGTGATGGGGTAAGGCCTGGGCCCCAGAGAAGGGTTGTACTCCTCTTAACTCACACTTAGAACAGGCTGGAAGGTGAGAAAGAAAAAAGCTCCCGATACAGTTTATTTGCATCAGCACACCCAGGGCCAGTCAGTGGCGTGATGGTTAAGGTGGCTGGATCCAACATGTCTCTCTGTGTAGTTCAAGTCTCAGACCCAGTCGCTTGAAAAACACACCAGGTGTGTGTGCAGGTGTGCCCAAAATCCCGATAGAAGAGACTGCAGTGTGGCCATCCCCACTGGGGGAGTGATTTTTCTCTCTCTCTCTCTCTGCCTCTCTCTAATAAGTACACATACCCTATAGCAAACTTAAAAAAAAAATCACCCCCAGGCCCTGCTGTTGTATAAACCTGCTGGCCCAAGGCTTAGGCAGCCAGCCCTAGACATCGGGGTGCAGAGAAGTGTGGAGGGACCTGGATGGTCAGGCCAACTGCATAGGTCCTACCTCGGGCACCTCAGGCGTGAACCAGACATTAAAGGAACCAGTGCTGGTCACAGCTGGGGCTCTTGAGCTGAACCCAGCATGTAGGTAGTCACGAAGCTCCTTTCTCTGCAGGACCCACTGGCCACCTCTCAAGCCAGAAAGGCACAGGAGTCATACCCAGTGGCCAGAACAAGAACTC